CTCTTCCTTTGTCCCCCTCCTGTGTTGTCTGTCTGTCCTCCTCCTGTGTTGTCTGTCTGTTCTCCTCCTTTGTTCTCCTCCTGTGTTGTCTGTTCTCCTCCTTTGTCCTCCTCCTGTGTTGTCTCTCTGTTCTCCTTTGTTCTCCTCCTGTGTTGTCTGTTCTCCTCCTTTGTCCTCCTCCTGTGTTGTCTGTCTATTCTCCTCCTTTGTTTTCTGTCTGTTCTCCTCCTTTGTTCTCCTCCTGTGTTGTCTCTCTGTTCTCCTCCTTTGTTGTCTGTCTATTCTCCTCCTTTGTCCTACTCCTGTGTTGTCTCTCTGTTCTCCTCCTTTGTTCTCCTCCTGTGTTGTCTGTTCTCCTCCTTTGTCCTGCTCCTATGTTGTCTCTCTGTTCTCTTCCTTTGTCCCCCTCCTGTGTTGTCTGTCTGTCCTCCTCCTGTGTTGTCTGTCTGTTCTCCTCCTTTGTTCTCCTCCTGTGTTGTCTGTTCTCCTCCTTTGTCCTCCTCCTGTGTTGTCTCTCTGTTCTCCTTTGTTCTCCTCCTGTGTTGTCTGTTCTCCTCCTTTGTCCTCCTCCTGTGTTGTCTCTCTGTTCTCCTCCGTTGTTTTCTGTCTGTTCTCCTCCTTTGTTCTCCTCCTGTGTTGTCTCTCTGTTCTCCTCCTTTGTTGTCTGTCTATTCTCCTCCTTTGTTCTCCTTCTGTGTTGTCTGTTCTCCTCCTTTGTCCTGCTCCTATGTTGTCTCTCTGTTCTCTTCCTTTGTCCCCCTCCTGTGTTGTCTGTCTGTCCTCCTCCTGTGTTGTCTGTCTGTTCTCCTCCTTTGTTCTCCTCCTGTGTTGTCTGTTCTCCTCCTTTGTCCTCCTCCTGTGTTGTCTCTCTGTTCTCCTTTGTTCTCCTCCTGTGTTGTCTGTTCTCCTCCTTTGTCCTCCTCCTGTGTTGTCTGTCTATTCTCCTCCTTTGTTTTCTGTCTGTTCTCCTCCTTTGTTCTCCTCCTGTGTTGTCTCTCTGTTCTCCTCCTTTGTTGTCTGTCTATTCTCCTCCTTTGTCCTACTCCTGTGTTGTCTCTCTGTTCTCCTCCTTTGTTCTCCTCCTGTGTTGTCTGTTCTCCTCCTTTGTCCTGCTCCTATGTTGTCTCTCTGTTCTCTTCCTTTGTCCCCCTCCTGTGTTGTCTGTCTGTCCTCCTCCTGTGTTGTCTGTCTGTTCTCCTCCTTTGTTCTCCTCCTGTGTTGTCTGTTCTCCTCCTTTGTCCTCCTCCTGTGTTGTCTCTCTATTCTCCTCCTTTGTCCTCCTCCTGTGTTGTCTCTCTGTTCTCATCCTTTGTCCTCCTCCTGTGTTGTCTCTCTGTTCTCCTCCTTTGTCCTCCTCCTGTGTTGTCTCTCTGTTCTCATCCTTTGTTCTCCTCCTGTGTTGTCTCTCTGTTCTCCTCCTTTGTTCTCCTCCTGTGTTGTCTCTCTGTTCTCATCCTTTGTCCTCCTCCTGTGTTGTCTGTCTGTTCTCCTCCTTTGTCCTCCTCCTGTGTTGTCTCTCTGTTCTCCTCCTTTGTTCTCCTCCTGTGTTGTCTCTCTGTTCTCCTCCTTTGTCCTCCTCCTGTGTTGTCTCTCTGTTCTCCTCCTTTGTCCTCCTCCTGTGTTGTCTCTCTGTTCTCCTCCTTTGTTCTCCTCCTGTGTTGTCTGTTGTCCTCCCCCCTGTTCTCCTCCTGTGTTGTCTGTCTTTTCTCCTCCTGTGTTGTCTCTCTGTTCTCCTCCTTTGTCCTACTCCTGTGGTGTCTCTCTGTTCTCCTCCTTTGTCCTCCTCCTGTGTTGTCTGTCTGTTCTCCTCCTTTGTTCTTCTCATTTGTTCTCCTCCTGTGTTGTCTCTCTGTTCTCCTCCTTTGTCCTACTCCTGTGGTGTCTCTCTGTTCTCCTCCTTTGTTCTCCTCCTGTGTTGTCTGTTGTCCTCCCCCCTGTTCTCCTCCTGTGTTGTCTGTCTGTTCTCCTCCTGTGTTGTCTCTCTGTTCTCCTCCTTTGTCCTACTCCTGTGGTGTCTCTCTGTTCTCCTCCTTTGTTCTCCTCCTGTGTTGTCTGTCTGTTCTCCTCCTTTGTTCTTCTCATTTGTTCTCCTCCTGTGTTGTCTCTCTGTTCTCCTCCTTTGTCCTACTCCTGTGGTGTCTCTCTATTCTCCTCCTTTGTCCTCCTCCTGTGTTGTCTCTCTGTTCTCATCCTTTGTCCTCCTCCTGTGTTGTCTGTCTGTTCTCCTCCTTTGTTCTTCTCATTTGTTCTCCTCCTGTGTTGTCTCTCTGTTCTCCTCCTTTGTCCTACTCCTGTGGTGTCTCTGTTCTCCTCCTTTGTCCTCCTCCTGTGTTGTCTGTCTGTTCTCCTCCTTTGTCCTACTCCTGTGGTGTCTCTGTTCTCCTCCTTTGTTCTTCTCCTTTGTTCTCCTCCTGTGTTGTCTCTCTGTTCTCCTCCTTTGTCCTACTCCTGTGGTGTCTCTGTTCTCCTCCTTTGTCCTACTCCTGTGGTGTCTCTGTTCTCCTCCTTTGTTCTTCTCCTTTGTTCTCCTCCTGTGTTGTCTCTCTGTTCTCCTCCTTTGTCCTACTCCTGTGGTGTCTCTGTTCTCCTCCTTTGTTCTTCTCCTTTGTTCTCCTCCTTTGTCCTACTCCTGTGGTGTCTCTCTGTTCTCCTCCTTTGTCCTACTCCTGTGTTGTCTGTCTGTTCTCCTCCTTTGTCCTACTCCTGTGGTGTCTCTGTTCTCCTCCTTTGTTCTTCTCCTTTGTTCTCCTCCTGTGTTGTCTCTCTGTTCTCCTCCTTTGTCCTACTCCTGTGGTGTCTCTCTGTTCTCCTCCTTTGTCCTACTCCTGTGGTGTCTCTGTTCTCCTCCTTTGTCCTACTCCTGTGTTGTCTGTCTGTTCTCCTCCTTTGTCCTACTCCTGTGTTGTCTGTCTGTTCTCCTCCTTTGTCCTACTCCTGTGGTGTCTCTGTTCTCCTCCTTTGTCCTACTGCTGTGTTGTCTGTCTGTTCTCCTCCTGTTCTCCTTTTTTTGAACATAAACACAGGTGAAAAAATAATACAATGTTTAAGTGTTTAACATTTTATGAGGTAAATTCCATGTTTAAACTTCAGGGATGTGTGTTCGTAGAGCTCAAGCACTTAAATTATAGGCCTAATAATTACAGCGTGTTCAGATTTGGACTGTGAGAGAGTTCCACCCTGTTTTGCAAGTGTTAATAATGTAAATATTTATAATATCCTTTAACACCACTGCAAGTCACATCACATCAATCCACCAATTCTTTTTTTTAGCACAGCTGCTTTCATTCATACTTTCAGCAGCTGATTTGACTGGTAGAGCTGCCCTCTGCTTTCATCAGATGCAGTAGGTGAGATGGCTGGATGTGCAGGCTTTATTTCCCTTTGCTTGCCTCATTAGAGACTTTGGTGCAGTTTAGTGAATTGTCCGACTCATTACTTGTTTACTATGTTTTATTGTTGTCTATTGGATTAAACACAGCCTCACATGTGACTGAATAGAAATGAGGATAAATGATGTAAAACATGTTTGTTGCTGACACACTCTTTCGTCCCCACTCGCTAGGGGTAGGGGAGACAAACATAAACCAGATGGTTTTTGTATGGGCAGAAAGATTATTTAATAAAACAGAGGTAAACAATAAAAGTCAACAGAAATTAAGGTAAGTGGGTGCTGCGTAAAACAAAATATAACCAAAAGAGATCCCTCCTAAATGAGGGGTTACCAAACTACCACGAAAAAGAATAAACAAACCTCTCAAGTCATAGCTGAAAACAGAAACACAGCAGCAGACCAGCCTATTTGAACCGGAGGAAGCTTGAAGTCGGTCTTGCATTGCAACTCAGGGATTGGAGGAGGGTTGTTGCGCCGCTCCAATCAGGGACTTCGGATGTGGGAGGCGGGATCAGCCAGAATTTCCTCGAAAACCAGCCAATCCCCTGCCAGAAATCTCACAGCCTCATTACCATGACATGAAACAGAAATGTCGAGCTATGAAGAGCCTTTAATCTCCAAGTCTGGTTCAGTACACACAACCACAGGGGAAGACGTCTGACTTGACAGTTGTCCAGAAGACACTCACTGACACCCTCCACACGAAGGGTAACTCACAGAAGGTCACTGCTGAAAGGGCTGGCTGATCAGAGTGCATATTCATCAGTGTGGTAGGAAAAGTTGTACAAGCAACAGGGACCACAGCCTTAAGAGGATTGTCAAGCAAAGCCGATTCAAGAACTTGGGGAAGTGGACTGAGGCTGGAGTCAGAGCATCAAGAGCCACCAGGCACAGACGGGTCCAGGTAATGAGCTAAAAGTGTCGCACTGCTAGTGTCAAGCCACTCCTGAACCAGACGTCAGAAGCGTCTTCCCTGGGCTAAGGAGAAAAAGAACTGGACCGTTGTTCGGTGGTCCAAAGTCCTCTTTTCAGATGAAAGTAAATTTTGCATTTCATTTGTAAATCAAGGTCCCAGAGTCTGGAGGACGAGTGGAGAGGCACAGAGTCCAAGTAGCCTGAAGTCCAGTGTGACGTTTCCACAGTCAGTGATGATATGGGGTGCCATGTCATCTGCTGGGTTTTATCAGGTCCAGAGTCAATGCAGCATCCACCAGGAGATTTTAGACCACTTCATGCTTCCATGGAGATGCTGATTTCCTTTTCCAGCAGGACTTGGCACCTGCCCACAGTACCAAAACCACTAGGAACTGACCATGGTGTTACTATGTGTATGGATGCAGTGTAACGAAGTTATGCTGGGCCCCGGTGCAAATATTTTCCTTGGACCTCTTCCTTGGAAGAAGTGTTCCCAAAAACCAGGTGAAGAAAACAAATATACCACTTCCGCCCAAACCCCAGTGAACACGCCCACTACCTACAATATCAGTGCAGTGAATAATATGAGACCATAAATATAGAACACTTCCAGGTGGCTCCTGCAGTAACAAATCACACAAAGTGAAGTTACCACTTCTTTAGCAACCATTTGAGGCAAATAAATACAAACAACTTGTCTTTCATTTTTATTTATGAAACACCACATTCCCCTCAAAAAATAAAACTTAACACAGTTTAGTGTGAATCAGACATAAAATTCACCAACACTGAAGAGAGAAATGGCTGCACAATTGGCTCACACATCAGAGCAGCTATGGATGCACGGCACAGTCATGATTGCTCTGTCCATACATTTAAACCAAATAAAAAGGAGTGTGCACACACATCATCATTCCAGTGAACAGCTGAGACACCTGCTGATCTAGGGAACTTTCAAACAGTGAATGTCAGACTTTAACATACAGTGAGTTCAATGCAAAAGTCATTCAGTAAGCACAACATCAGTGCATGATTAAAGTCAAATCCAATTGTTCAAAGGATTTTGGCCCGGGCAATGACACTGCAACTGACCAATCAGACTATCCCATTTAGTGATTTGTGTGATTAATACAGACAAACATGACTGTATGAACGTGTGTGTGTGTGTTGTAGGTCATCAGTCTGGCAGGTCATGTATGCACAACAGAATGATCACTGGTGTTGTCACAATAACAGAGTTTTCACTGCACTTCAATACCATCACAGGCCTCTGATTTCAGCATTTCATTTTGAAATCATTTGATACTTTGTCTGCCTGTTATTCATGTAAGCTTAAAATCAATTTTGTGACATGTAAAATGTGAGAGCTGGAGGAGTTCAGAAAAATGGTGCAACTACAGCGGTGGACGAAACGGCAGATATGGTAGAGATAGTCAACTATTCCTGTAAAAGGTACAAGGTGGGTGAATAGTTTATGTGAACAGTCTATCAAACCCAGTGCCTCTGACAGCACTGGAAGACCTGTACTAACCTGTGTAACACTGACACACATATTGCAGATTCTTTTTTCAGAGCTGAGTTTACAACACCCACTTTGCCGAGATACTGCTCTCATGTCAAGAAGTCATTACTAAAGGCTTTTGAAGTGACTGCATTGCAATAAGCCGAGAAAGGATGCAACTTCCTGTCAGTTTAACAGCTAGGTATATAGCTAGTTATTATTAACATGAAGAGATGTCTGACCTGCCAGTTAGAACTTTCTAAATGATAAGCTAATACTCATTATACAGCCTCTATGGCAAACTGCTAACTTGTAGTCCATAAGAATTAATGTTCCCCATTACACAATACCAGAAACCCACTTTACACACAATAACAGCATACTAGCTCGCTAATTCCATCTTATAAACAGTAAAATCATTCAATTTAGTGTCATATTGCTATTTTCCAGGCTACTGTATTTGTCATATTTTGCGGATCCAAGTCAACATGGTTTCCATGGGAACGCAGTTGTCAAGACTATTGTCATCCAGAAGTGCGTGTGGTTTCATCCAAAGTCGATTGGAAAAACAACAGCCAGACCAAGGAAGCAAAAACACAGAACCACACCACACAGACTACACCAACAGCATGCGACTGCAAACATGCATTCAGACTGGTCACAAAGAGGAAATACCATAGACTGTATATAAGAAAATACTGAAACTGATGCGGATCATTTGGTTTGGCCTTCAGCCACCAAATCAACCCAACTGAACACAGAGATGTTGGGGCAGCACGTTGGACAGCGCTCTCCACCTCCAACCTTATTAACGTACATTACACTTCCTCAGTATGCTCTTTCACATTTTTCTAAACCAATGGTTATTTCATCTTGTTTTATGTTTGGGATTTTATTTAATTTTATTCTTTATTTTTACTGTAAAGCACTAACTTTTTGTTGGATTTTAATTTCATTTATCACCTATCTGTATGCACTGTGCCTGCATGAGAGGAAATATACAGCCAGTAAATCCGTGTTCCTGCCCAAAAGAATATGCAACTTTACATATACACATGCTCGTTACGCAAACATCTAATCGGCCAATCCTACTGCAACAACTCAATGCATACAATCATGCAGACATTGTTGAGAGGTTCAGCTGTTGTTCAGACCAAACATCAGAATGGGGAAAAATGTAATGTGATGTAATTTAGTGCCAGGCTGGGTGGTTTGAGTATCTCAGAAACTGCTGGTCTCCTGGGGCATCACCGACAGTAGTCTCTAGAGTTTACAGAGAATGGTGTCAAAAACAAAAAGCACTGAGTAAGCAGAAGCTCTGTGGCTGAAAACACCTTGTAACTGAGAGAGTTCAAAGGAGAATGACCAGACCGGAAGGTGACAGTAACTCACATACCAGGCATTACAACAGTGCTAGGGAGAAGGGCATCTCTGACCGCACAACTAGTCCAACCTTGAAGTGGATCAACTACAGCAGCAGAAGCTCACAGTGGGTTCCACTTCCACACTATAGTGGACACAGGCTCACCAAGACAGGACAAAAGAAGATTGTGAAAATGTCACCTGGTGTGATGAATCTTGATTTCTGCTGCCATGTGCAGATGTCAGAATTTGACCTCAACATATCCATACCGCCTTCGCTCAATGGTCCCTAATACTAACCGTGCATTGTTAGTCGCACACAGACCTCTTGAGAATTTTCAAAATTGATGTCAAAATCTGCGTGAATCGTGAACATGAAACCGAATCTGTAGGGAATGTTTCCAGCACCTTGTTTGCCATGAAGACGTCAGGCTGTTGAGGGGGCAAACAGGGATCCTCACCATAATTATAAATATGGACCAAATAACGTGGTCTGAATGGACCTGCAGGGTTTAATAAGTTTGTGGATTCACTCTAGAGCCTTCCTGCCTGTGTGCTGCTCACAGTGCTGCTGCTGCTGTGACCAACCACACAGTTAAACAAAAACTACAGAGGCTGAAAAATCTTTCAGAAATGGCAAAGAAACATTATTTAGGTGTAACATAAGGCTACAGTGGAACATTACTGGGTGGGGGACACAACAAGTCACAATGATTTTTAGGTGTGAGGCAATAATGGCATTTTTCCCACTTTGGCTTCGTGGTAAAGTGTTCCACCTTATATTCAAATAGAGAGAGAAAACTCTCATACTACTCAGTAATATCTCTTCATTGGCTATTTCTGTTTCTATCTGCTCTAGTAAACCTACTTCCTCTACCACTATAAGCTGTGTATCTGCTGCTGATGTAATTTCATACTGTGGCAGATGGATCAAACTAAAATAACTGATTACTTCAGTTCCCTTCGCAATAAAACAGAGGCTGTTGTAGGAGATGTTGGTGGTACTGAAGTGTTAAATGGTTAAATATTAACCTTAGTATTGTATCTAAGTCAAACCTCTGGAATTCTGACAACACGAGTACCAGTGTAAACTTCAATAAGACTGCTGTTCTAAAAGATATTCTGCATAAAGTACAGGTGCAGGAAGCAGGATGTAAAGGGGAACACAGCTAACCCTGGAGTTTGGAATTTGGCAGCTGGGGTCAGAGCGCTTGCTGGGTGCTTCAGTCATTGATGAGAGCCAGGATCATGCTGCAAAATGGGTGGGAAAAATATGTGTTAATGCATATGTTGTTGCTGAAGGCCTTGACATGTCACTAAATGTCTGTTGATGCTGTTGCCCTTACCTGTACAAATAAATGAAGAAGCAGAGCAGGTGGTAACCCAGTTTGATCATGGCCTCCTTCATGTGGGACTTGAGCTGACCACGGTTGTGAATCTCAGTGGGATCCAACACGCCCATGTTTCCCATCGGAACCTTCACGTACCTGCAGGGATAGGAAAGTACACCCAGGAACCTCATTGCACCATTGAGTATTACATGAGCTCTGTGTTCTTACCTACAGTACAGTGTGATGTGGAGAAAATTGTCACAGTATATGTCATTTTAAATTCTTGTATCAATACATGCAGTGTTTCCCTACATTCATTCAGAAGCAGCACACCACAAAATATTGAGCAGCTCCCAAAATTTCACAAAATCATGAATATCAATGGGCTACTAGTGATTTTCATTCGTAAAGTGCATAGTGAGTTTGTGGTTGAGCGAGTGTGAGAGAGCGAATGGCAGAAATTGACAGTGAAAGTGAGCGGATAAAAAGAAGGTGATTAGTGAAGGTGGTTAGTGCTAGCTAACATCTCCTGGGTTTCAGACTCCAGTCTGGAAGCTGAGCAGGAAAGCTAACAGTATGTTTTTTGGCTGCTAACATTAGCTTATAAGAAGTCACTATTAGCTAGATGCATTTCACAACTGCATACTTGTCCAGTGTTAAGGACATCAGGTCCTAGCAGGGATGGCAATTAACACCCGCCACCTGCGACATGCGGGAGGATTTTCCGTTTGGCAGCTAAATGGCGTAGATTTGTAAGGGGCTGGGCGTTACAAAAGTTGTACTTGGGAGTGTTTTTAGCTTTTAGCTAGCTAGCCACCAGCGCGGCAACATTGACGTCACCACCAAACCAAAAAAAACAAAGAGGAGGTTGAAGCAGATAATAAAAACAATTAGTTGGTGGGCCAGCCTAGTGTCTGACACACATGTCATATTCTTATGGTCCAGCTGTCCTCCCCAGAGATCAAGAAGTATAGAAGACCTAAAACGGATAAGTTTGAAAAGCGTTTTAGTGTGAACAGGCAAAAACGATGATGCAGACACTCACATCTGGCTTTCTGATTGACACATCTACTGACAGTGTTTTAGTTTTGGCATTTTTATTAAAATATTTTGTACTGTGCAAATAACACTTGTACACTTGTGATTACTGTGCATGTTTCCGTATTGACTTTGCGACGACGTCTGTTTCCACCGCCATAATCGCTTTGTATTCACGTGTTACTTTCAGTGACAGTTCCACCTGTCCATGCAAAAAAATCTCTGGTGTGGTTCTTTCTCTGTAGTATTACTTTTTTCTTTCGCCAAATCTTCTGCAACTGTGGAGTACACAATCTGCTTCCTATTTACACCCGCTCCTGCATAACCAGTCAGGGTTCTTGCACCATTTTTTAGGTCAAATTCGATGCTTTTTAACACCTCAACACATATAATTTAAGACTTCATTTGAAAATTTTGAAACAATTTTATTTTCACGACAGGTAAATGGCTGTTTATTCCGAATGAGGGAACATAGAGGATGTTTACACCTGGCGTAATGCTGTGTGATGGCTGCGCTGGCACTGCAGTGGACAATGGAAGGATGAGGAGGGAACGAGTGATAGGAACCACAAACATTTCCTGACCAATGATGATGACTGGCTAATATACCAATTGAGATTCCCGGGAGCCGAGCTCTTGGATCTATGTGTTGAAATGGGTCTAGCATTAGACAGACCAAGCCGACGAACTGTGCCACCGGTACAAATACAAGTAATAAATTGCAATATATCTCAATATATTTAAAATCGCAATAAAATCGAATCACAACATAAATATCGTGATAATATTGTATCGTGGGGCTTCTGGTGATTCCCACCCCTATAAAATACAGTAGAGAAGAGCATGTTCTCTCTCACAGCCAATGCAGTAGGCAGCGGCAGTACAACAATACCTGTAAATGTTCCAGGCTGCTACAGGCAGGTTGAGGAGGAAGATGAACCAGTGCATGGAGACCAGCATCAGCATTGTGGAGAGACACTGGCCAACCATCTCTGGAATTACCCACTGAAAATACAAAATATCAAACATACATGAATCAAACATTAAAATAAGAAATCATGAGAATGCTAACAAACTTCTCTCTATAGCATCTATAAAAAACAGACATAATAAAAGCTGCAAGCAGAGTTAGACCGGCCTTAGGGGCATGTCCAGGCTGCAGCGACCAGAGGTCAGGAGACGCAGCTCAGAATTATCAAGCGTTTTGGACCAGTCATGAAGGAGTTATACGTCACTTCCTGTGATTATATGTTGTGTACTCGTAAATGAATTGTGGACCATGCTGTGAAGAGCAGCTGTCATGGTCATCTCACATCTCCACGCTGGTGAAGAAAGCTCAGAAACGACTTTATTTCTTGAGGAAGTTTAAGAAGGCCAAATCCCCGCGCCAAGTTCTTGTCAGCTTTTACAGAAAACTTACTTAGATATCATCCTGACTGGAAACATCACTAACATGGGATGTGCACGGCCCAGGACTGGAGGGCTCTGCAGCGGGTGATTCAAACTGCTCAGAAGATCATCGGTACCCATCTGCTGAGCATCAGTGATATCAGTGAGGTGAGGTGCCTGCAGAGCCCAAAGGATACTAAAGGACAGTACCCAACCAGCCACAGCCTGTTCACCCTGCTGCCTTCTGGGAAGAGATATAGAAGTTTCTGCTGCCGCACCACCAGACTGCAGAGCAGCTTTTCCCCCCCAAGCTATCAGACTCTTAAACTCTAATTCATCTTCAGCACTGCTCCACTGATGATAGTCGAAGTCCTTTTAGGCAAGTTCTGCCACTCGGCCACCATCTTGGCAATGCTTCTGGGTAGCTATTTCAGACTAACAAGACCAGGCTCCTATCTAAATTAATGGGGAGAGAGCCAGATCTGCACTTTTTACTGGACATAAAAACTACATGTATAGAAAAAAAAATCGCTGAAAGAGTTTGACAACTTTGCCACAAAATAACTACTTCTACTACGCATCCGTCACCAGAACCGCGCATGCGCAGTAAAGTTAAAACAGACCCTTACGTCAGTGGAACCACGCGATTGGCTGAAATATGTTTCCCGCTTTGGCTGTTAAAAGCAGACGATTGGCTTTCTAGCGGGAGGGATGGGATAACTGCCATCTTTACCATTACGGGCTTTCCCCGTAGACTTGTATTGAGGATGTGACTGGCATGTCTCCTCTAAATTGTCTCTATAACAGTATATTTCTGTTTACTTTTTTTTATAATTGATTCTTTATTAATGTATATTGTCTGCTATGTAGCAGAAGGGAGTTACAAAACTCTGTAACTTGTTAAACTGTGATTTTTGTGACAAAGTGCTCACTTCCTTGCCAGCAGGTGGCGCTATGAGTGAATTTTGGGTGTGACCCCTATCAAACATGTGAAATTTGGTACAGATATGAGTACATACAGTTAAGTTGCAACAACTTCCGGTTTCAAGGTGAAGCGTCAAACTTCGATGCCATGCCACTTTTTTGTAGGTCTGGACTTGATACATAAAATTTTCATACTGTTCGATGAAACGAGGCTGCTCTGTAGAGGGCGCTAGTGAGCCTGTCCAAACGCCACCGGCGGCCAGTAAAAATTGTCTTCCGGCCAGTAAGTTTCAAACCCTCTGGGCAGGTGGGCCAGTTGCAAAAACATTTAACCCATATGACACATGAATTTTCACCACTCTTGGATTTTTATGCAAAGTGTAGCGAGTTGAACATTATTCCTTCAGTTTCAATAGGGCCTTTGCATGTTTCATGCTCAGGGCCCTAAAAATCAGCTAAAAATAGCCATCATCATGTAACACATTAAAACAAGTAACAATGCACCAAATAAAAGGCATCATGACTTTAAAAAAAAAAATAAAAAAAGAGTAAAAATTCTCTGAAGTACATGCATGTAAATGTCCTCTGACAGTAATAATCCAGACACACGACTTACTTTGTTCAGTTTGGAGCAGCAGGCTCTAGCATTAATGTAGTCACATTCTAGATCAGACAGGGTGATAATCTGAGCTTTAAGTCAAGGTGCCTAAAAAATTCCATTAAAGGACATAGGTAGACTTAACAGAAGACAACCAACTCTAGTTGGTCAGATTGTTAAGGTGTGTTCACACTGAAAGTGAATCCAGCATTTTGGCTGGCTTGATTACATGCAAAGTAAATGCAAAGCTGAGAATTCGCTTTGGGCGGCATGAAATTCGCTGGTTTCGCGCGAGTTAAAATTTTTCAACTTGGGCGAGAAATTCGCTTGACGCGATGTTGCGAAAGCCTATCAGTGGTGAGATTGTCCAAACGCCACCGGCGGCTTCGGAGTGCTGTTTGGAGAGTACCAGGTGAGCGGTGTAATGACAATCCGCTGGCCGACAGAGAGCTGCTAAAGAACGGGGAAGTGTACGGAGAGCAGCGCTGCAGATTTCGGACAAATAAACATCTGTAGTCGGTCTGGATTCTGCTCTGACAACAATGCTGTTTACCCGAGGGAGGAGCTCAGAGTAAACTGCTTTTATTAAATTAATTTTTATTTAATAAATTATTACAACTTATCTTCGCGCTTCTCGGCAGCTAGTTCCATGCACATCCGGTTCCACTGTTGTTGTTAGCGTCGGATGGCACAGAGTTCTGCTGAACTACTACTTCATATTTATGTAATAAACGGACAAAACTGGACATTACTTGGAGAAAAGAAAGCGAGGAGGTTGAACTACCTGGTGAGTTCAGAAATGTGTCTGTAACTTTATTCCAGCTATCGCTGTACTTTACTGGGACCAAGGTAGCACAGCATAGCCCTGATCGATCCAAACTCCATTCAGAAAAGAAACATTTTAAAAGTTGTTATCTTGCTGACAGAACTGACACTGAAAGCATGAATTCATATGTTTAACAAATCTGCATTATATTGTAGTTATTTTGGCATCAGTTTGATCCGTTTATTGCAATTAAATCACAGCAAAGGGTTTACTTTGGGTTCATACAGCTGTACTAATCGCGGGTTGTGTTTATTCACATTATTGCGTTACGTGTGACCACTTGTTGTCCAGCGATAAAACCACCACGAGGAAAGCATTGTGAGGATTAAATTCGCGTTTGGTTTGAATGCAAAGTTAAGATTACTACTTTTGTTTTATGCCATCATGCAATCAGATAGTTTACGGCACAAAAACCCCATTTCTTCATTATGCCAGGAACACAAAGTGAAAATGTGCCACAAGCACTGACATTATTATTATTAAGAAATGTTGATCTAAATAGTGTGTTATTATATTCGTTACAGTACAGACAGTAATTTAGTTGGAATAACTACAAGGTCATCAGTAATGTTGTAAAAGGTAGATACATTTTTGTCTATCACTCTCGAAACCGTTCTTTGAAATGTGTGCACGTTAACATTGACAGCAACGTAAAACTAGAGACAACCTCCTTATATATGCCCACGTACTTGGCCAATAAGCTCATTCTGATTACATTTACAGCGACAGAGGCAGCAAGCTTTTTAAACTTTCAGCTTGTTTTTTTTGTTTGTTTTATTACGGCACTTTACCATACCATTACTCTGCTGTTAGAACAGCTTCAAAACGTTAGTTGGTGTTAGCCTGTCACTGTAACACGGCGGCTAACTGCTGAGCTACTCAGCGTTCATGTACTAATGTAAAGAAAAGAATTCATTCGAGCTCTCGGTCTGCTGGCCGGGTGGCGAATAAGCTCGACACCCAGCAAAAAGCACGTTGCCGAAAAGGATACAAAGTAGACCGAAAGGAAAATCAGTGCACAACAGTCTACAAGTGATAGAATGAACACTGCCGCTTCCATTTTTCTTCTTCCGTCAGTGATTTGTCTTCATTTCCGGCCGGTTCTCGAGCCTGGCATCCTCCGCGGCCTGAGCTAGTGGCAGTTCTTCTCTTGCAGTATTGACACCTGGCGGACTGGAGTGCAGCTGATGCAAACACAGCCACAACTGTACAGAACGAATCACACGCATCATAAAATGACTTTAGCGTAACTAAAGACAAAAATATAATTAAAAAGGGGGTTATGTGTATAACTTAAAGGTATCTTATGTAAGAATGTAAAGAAAGTGCCCACATGTGAATGGTTTGTAAGCATAGGTGTCATTTACGCTGGGGACGCTGGGGACATTTCTCCACCTCTTTTTTAAATGGCTGATTATGTCCCAATCACTTTTTGAAAGTATTTTTTAAAAATGTTCTGATGATATGACTTTGAGAAAGGTTTATTTGCACCAAAAGAAATTAAATTACAGAAGAAATAAATGTGATTACCAAAAAAGTAACTTAAGCTAAAAACAAGCTACTGATTATTGCATTATATTTTTATAGTTGGAATTGTCATCTGCCACCTGAATTTTGTATGTTTTGTATATGAATAAAGACATTTCCACCATAAATTGGTGCATTTTTTTCCAGAATGCAAGAAATTAAGTGTTTTATGCTCCAGTTTTTCAAATCCCACCAATTGCCAACCAAAACTCCCATAGGTAAAAATTTCTTTGGTAACAGCTTTATTTTCTATCTCTTTCTTTACATTCCTCTGTACAGCTGTGCCAACTTGAATTTCCCCTACTGGGGATTAATAAAGACATATATTATGTATTCCTTTAATATGATAATATAATATCTACTCACTGGCCACTTTATTAGGTACACCTTGCTAGTTTGCCCCAAGAACTGTCTTAATTCTTCATGGCATACTTTCAACAAGGTGTTGGAAACATTCCTCAGAGACTTTGGTCTATATTGATGTGATAGCATCATGCAGTTGCTGCAGATTTGTCCATGATGAAAATCTCCCGTTCCACCACATCCCAAAGGTGCTCTAGTGGGTTGAGATCTGGTTACTGTGGAGGCCGTTGGAGTTCAGTGAACTCATTTTCATGTTCAAGAAACCAGTTTGAGATGATTTGAGCTTTGTGACATGGTGCATTATCCTGTTGGAAGTATCAGTAGTCACTGTGGTCGTAAAGGGATGGACATGGTCAGCAACAATACTCAGACAGGCTGTCGCGTTTAAACGATGCTCAGTTGGTACTAAGGGGCCCAGAATGTAAAATATCCCCCACACCATTACACCACCAGCCTGAACCATTGATACAAGGCAGGATGGATCCATGCTTTCATATTGTTTAGACCTAACTCTGACCCTAGCATCTGAATGGCACAGCTGAAATCGAGACTCATCAGACCAGGCAACGTTTTTCCAATCTTCTATTATCCAGTTTTGGTGAGCCTGTGTGAGCTGTAGCCTCAGTTTCCTGTTCTCAGCTGACAGGAGTGGCCCCCAGTGTGGTCTTCTGCTGCTGTAGCCCATCTACTTTAAGTTTCGACGTGTTGTGTGTTCAGAGATGGTGTTCTGCATACCTTGGTTGTAACGAGTGGTTATTTGAGTTACTGTTGCCTTTCAGTCATCCTGAACCAGTCTGCCCATTCTCCTCTGAACATCAACATGGCATTTTCATCCACACATCTGCCGTTCACTGGATATTTTCTCTTTTTCAGGCCGTTCTCCTAGAGATGGTTATGCGTGAAAATCCCAGTAGTTCAGCAGTTTCTGAAATACTCAGACCAGCCCTTCAACATGCCAACAACAACCATGCCACGTTCAAAGTCACTTAAATCCCCTTTCTTCCCCATTCTGATGCTCGGTTTGGACGTCAGCAAGTTTGAATAGTTTCAACCGGGACAGACAGCAGCAGCTATATTTGCAGAAATGTTTGGTAAATATAATGGGCCAGATTTACTAAAGGTTTCCGTGAGTAAAAACGTGTTCGAACTTGATATCACCAGCAAATTAACATGTAAGCTGATCTACTAATGGTGTGCACACAGAATGATGTCTTTCAAAAGTACAAGACAGCACCTGTTCATTTACGACCATTTCCTTAATGAATATGCAATTTGGGGCGTTTCAATTTTATTGTGCAAAGTAATGGGAGGGTAACATTCAAATACATTTATTTACTACACGCAATGTGATCTACGAAGCCTAAAAGCAATTTCATGTGAGTGCTGTATTTAATACAATTGTGCAAACCATCAAGTTTGGTGCAGAGATGGCTGCTGTTATCTGTAATATTATTCTGAATACAGAAATAAAAGTTGTTTCGACCTGACTTCTTTTCTCCATGAGATGAAAGAATTTGGAAAGTTGTGTGGTGCTGCGGAAAGCCCCCAGCTGCAGTACTGCTGGATGAAGCATGACGCTCCTGATTTTATGCATGATTCATGATGACACAGAAATATAGAAATTAAGACCCCCCTACAATTTCACAAATAATGTTTTTAGGGGAGCTTATGTCTTATTCCCCCTGGCTCCCCCATAGTTTGCACACTGTCTTCACATCTGGGTCATTGCAGCAATCCTGCAATCTTAGGAAGGATGGGCAGGTACATTCAATTTCCACATATGGTGGAAACCATTAAACACACAAAACCCTCATTTAAATACTGCCACCTCCATTGTGTTTGCACATGTTGCCATCTAAACAAAAATTCTTAGTTAGTCACCCATAACAGGTACTACAATTACACGTGCAATATTTTAGAATGCAAACGCAATTTTGTCGTCTTTATTCGGGGTGTTAAATCCGGCCCAATGTGCGTTCATTTTTATGTTGACTACACTTACATTACATAAATATTTCATTTTTCAGTAATCAGTTTTTGTGTTTAATATGGGAGGGAAGGGGGATTGCTCTCATAAAGTAGAATACATTTACACCAGTAACTTCAGTAATTCCTGGTAAGGCATGATGTGCACGGATTAGGCTACTGTTCACACCTAGCCTACAGTGACAGCATTAACGGTGTGTGACCTGTTGAAATGTAAATGAGAGATGGTTACAGAGTTAAATTCTCTGTTCCTCCAGAGGATTCATAACATTACTCTTAACTGGGGATTATTTTAATGTGGCATCATCCTTTCCTAAACACAGGCTACACCATTCATCAGAACACATACAAATACATGCATAAGATGTACTGTATATATAATTTTTAGATATCAATATTAATGTTGTGTTAATGTTCAAATTACTGTTATATGGTACAAGGTGTATTTTGATGCTAAGGATCTAATTCAATACTAAGGATTTTGACATGAGCCCTTAGAACTGAATTACATTTTTGGTGTGTTTAATTTTGGTGGGAAAGGGGTCTCCTCCCATAAGTTAGAGAACATTTACAGTATGTACACTATATAGCCAAAGGTTTTCGAACCCCCCTCCAAATCATTGAATTCAAGTGTTCCAATCACTTCCACGGCCACAGGTGTATAACATCAAGCACCTAGGCTGCAGACTGCTTCTACAAACATTTGTGGAAGAATGGGTCACTCTCAGGAGCTCAGTGAATTCAAGCGTGATACTGTGACAGGTTGCCACCTGTGCAATAAGTCCATTGGTGAAATTTCCTCACTACTAAATTTTCCACGGTCAACTGTTAGTGGCATTATAACAAAGTGGAAGCCATTAGGAACAACAGAAACTCAAAGTGGTAGGTTACATAAAATCACAGAGTGGGGTCAGCGCATTCTGAGGCGCACAGCGCGCAGAATGTCTGGCAATCCGATGGACGAGTCTGGGTTTGCTGACGTACTGACTGCGTTGTGCCAAGTGTAAAGTTTGGTGGAGGGGGGTTATGGTGTGGGGTCGTTTTTCCCGGGTTGGGCTTGGCCCCTTAGTTCCAGTGAAACGAACTGTTAATGCTTCAGCATAGCAAGACATTTTAGACAATTTCATGCTCCCAACCTTGTGGAAACAGTTTGGGGAAGGCCCCTTCCTGTTCCAACATGATGCGCACCAGTGCACAAAGCAAGGTCCATAAAGACCTGGATGAGCGAGTCTGGTGGAGAACTTGACGGAGTCCTGCACAGAGTCCTGACCTCAACCCAACAGAACACCTTTGGGATGAATTAGACAGGAGACAGTGAGCCAGGCCTTCTCATCCAACATATGTGCCTGACCTCACAAACGCGCTTCTAGAAGAATGGTCAAAAATTCCTATGAACACACTCCTAAACCTCGTGGACAGCCTTCCCAGAAGAGTTGATGCTGTTATAGGTGCAAAGGGTGGGCCAACTCCATATTAACCCTACAGATTAGGAACAGGATGTGATTAACTTTCATGTGCATATAAAGGCCGGCGACCCAAAAGCTTTGGCAACATAGTGTATGCATTAATATTTTTCATGTGCTTCTATAGTCATAATTACTCACATCCAATTGTTATAAGACATGCACAACAAGTGAATATCAATGAATGTCCGAAGTTGCTCAGTTTAAGTCAAGACGTTTAGTCACTAGGCTGCTCCACTCACCTCCTCTCTCTCTCTCTCTCTCTCTCTCTCTCCTTCCATCCCTCTCTCTCTTTCTCTCTGTTCCCCTCTCTTGCCCTCTCTCTCTCTCCCTCTCTCTCCTTCACCCCCAACCGGTCGAGGCAGATGGCCGCCCACCCTGAGCCATGGTTCTGCTCGAGGTTTCTGCCTCTTAAAGGAAGTTTTTCCTTGCCTCTGTCTCCTAGTGCTGCTCTTGGTGGGAACTGTTGGGCTTCTGTAAATAACATCATAGAGTACGGTCTAGACCTTCTCTTTTATGAAAAGCACTCTGAGATAAATGTTGTTGTGATTTGGCGCTATATAAATAAAATATAACTGAATTGAATTGAAATTGAATTATTTAATATAAAAATGTATTGCTTAGTTAGTACAAACAGTTTAGTATCAACAATTACCTTATAATGCAGTTAAAATAAATACTATACAATAAAGTGTTACAATCTGTTTATGTGCAAATGTGATTGACAGTATGCGTAAATTCATGCAGTTTGTTGACAGTTTGTAAAAAGTGAGGTGTCCCATAATCATATTTTCAAACAGCTTGATGAGAGTCGAAAAATGCTTTACCCACAACAACAAATATGACAAAAGCTGCTTCTGCAGAAAAGTGACTCACCCAGCTGTCACTCATGAAGAAGTGGGCAGGGCTGCAGGGGAGAATATGAGAATAGTAAACCGTGAAGGAGGAAGCAAGAGGGACTTTTCTTTTGGCCTAGTGAAGAAGTTTAAAAAGGGGAGTATCACTGCTGGAGGTGAAGAACCGCAGAGAGAGGCCAGTGGCACAGGGGAGAGAGGTGAAGAGAGAAACACAGAGGGACAATAGAACAGCCAGCAGAATGGCCTGGGTTACTCCTGTAATCTATGTGTACATAACACATACTATTCTGGAAATAGGACATGCCACTGAAAAGGGTACCAGAGTGCCAGAAGCTACAGCCCCAGGAGATATCATCATTGGAGGAGTCTTTCCCATTCATGGAGATGTAGACAAAAAGAACAACTCCTTTGCACCCCACAAACCGCCATGTATCAGGTGAGATTATTCAGCCTAATGCAATCAATGATAAATAGTCAACATTTTACTTTTTAACTTCAAGTCTGGATTTATGTTTTTTGAGCCCGACTTTTCTGGCGCAATTACCCAAACTCCTAGAACTACTTCTTTAAGCATCAAGAATCTTTAGAAGATAGTTTAGTTCTAACCAGTAGACAAAATAATGTGACATTCAGTATGTTTTAGTGCAGAGAGAGAAGTAATCAGAGCCTTAGTAGTAATAGCACATTTACAAATACTCCATAACAAAAATATGTATATCATTCAAAATTCTACTAGTAAAAGTACAGAAACCAAATTTATTTTCTTTTAAGTAAAAGCAGTATAATATAGATCACATCTTCTGATCACACCATGAAAACATTTAAGAGTAAAAGAAGACACATGTTGCAAGGGCAAAGATTTAAGAACTAGACTGATGTGATCTTTCCTCTCTGTCCAGGTTTACATTCTAGCAGCAGTTTTTTTTAACTACAGGATACCTATTCTATTATTATGGGTTACAGTATGACCCTTACTGAGCAACAAACCAGATGTTTAGGGGAAGACTGGGTTTGAGCCCTGTTGCATTTTATAAATCTGCTGTGATTTATTTCAAAATGACCATGTACTGCTTACCTACACTTGAAGGGTCCAGCTGATAACAAAGTGAGAATAGAGGCACATTTGTTTTTTACTTTGGAACAAGCAGAGGTCCAGGGAAAAGAGTACTGTCAGGGACATACTGCAGGCCTATAGACCACACTATAAGCTACTGTGTATGTTGGAAAGTCCACTGTACTAACAGGGGACTTTAAAGGACTGAGGTGGGACAGCTTTCTGTGGATTGGCCCTTTTGCTGCACAGAGTGCTGTTTGTTGTTGTTCTGGAGTACAGTAAGTAGAAAAGCTTTTTTTTATATAACTGTATGTCCTGCCACAGTGGAACTGTCATGGACAGTAAGGATACCAACAATACAATCAAAATATCAAAATTAAAATATGTAGGACCAGCTATGGGTCATTTCTGAGCATGCCTCTTCTAGCTGTAAATTAACTTCAAACCATTTTCATTCATTCATCCTAAGCTTAGCAGACCTAATGCCAAAATAAACCACAGGCAGTAGTTAAACAAATCGTCTACATAGCATCCCTTGACAACAGCTCCATATAAGAGCGTCCCAGCTGCCACTCACTGACAGTGGACAATGGTTTTGATTAGTGACTTTGATTTTTATTAGAAAGTCATAGTAGCCTTGAAATTTAAATACTTCACTCTCAGTCTGTCACATCTGTACTGATGACACTATAATATTCACACAGGTTTGAAGAAAGTGGACTGGTGAAGGCGCTGGCTATGATCAATGCTATTGAGATCATGAATAAGTCCCCTCTGCTGGCTGATGTTAACATCACTCTGGGCTACCGGATCTTAGACTCCTGCTCCGATGTCAGCACAGCCCTGAGGGCCACAGCAGACTTCACCCAGCAGCCCGAGTGCCACACCGGAAGCAACTCCACCTCTCATCTGCCAGTCATGGCTATTATAGGGGACTCTCACTCTGAAACATCCATTGCCATCGCCAACCAACTGACTCTCAAGATGATTCCTCAAGTAAGTAGTGAGAAACAGGAAAATGCTTTTGCATCTTTGGCAGGACTGATGGACACAGTTTTGACTGTGACAGTGAACTGAAGCAGCAGAACAGGTTTGCAGTGGCAGCTGATAAACATCAGCCGGAACTTTCAAGATGATAAATTGTATGCTTATGCATGACTGACTGTGTCATTAAATAACACAGGCCAGGACAGTTTTAAGGTGATGCACAATAGATGCCTCACCTGCGCATGCCGGTTTCACATTAGCTGGGCGCAGATTAGCGGTGAGTCATTTTCACTGCTGCTCCACTCAGGTGCGCTGCAGGCCTTTCTTTCTTCTTTTTGGTGGGTAGCGATGCCCACCGGATGCTATGTAGACGATTTGTACTTTGTTACTTTACATCTCTGCCCAGGCCTGCTGTCAGGGGGGGTCAATGGGTACAGATGACCCCGGCCCAAGGGGTCCCATGCAAAGATCTATGGTTGACCCTTAAATGGAATCAAGTACAACACTTTACTTACTGTCTTATATCACAAACAAAACAATCTACATGTATTTACTAAGGCTGAGCACGCATATTTTATCGCACATTAAGCAGTTTTTATGTTATTATTATTAGTTTGAAAGTCCGTTGCTCACTGGCTCTACATACACATACACATCCAGTCAAACCCTGGGTCACATGAGGGGCGGGATGTTGATCAGCCACCCAAACAAGCAGTGGAGGGAGGCTTCAGCAGACTACGCTGTCATCTTTTTTCCATATTTATCATGGCAGCAGGTGAGCCGCTCGCTTGTTAGTGACGCAGCTGCATCTGCACCGTGTGTTCAATGTTGCTTTAACGTTATCTGGGGTGAGTTCAATCTCAAAACGTTTTGCACCGTTTTGCAACGTTTTCTCATTGAACATGTTTCCTTGCAACGTTGCGCAACGTTCTGCAACAGGCTTCGAGGTATGTTTTCTCCCGTTTGGTGGGCGTGTCTCAGGTGTTGCCCAATCAGCTGCGATAAGTTTGTAAACAACGGTGTAAAAAAGGCAGGAAAATTCAGTGCGCTTGCGTACACAACAGGGTGTTCAGAGAACTATCGTTTCAGTTGAAATAAACGTTTTGCTACGTTTTGTCGGCGCTGAACTCGACCCTGGTCTGTGCTGGTCAAGTTTTTAATCGAGTAAAGTCTGTGTGAGTGAACACACGCACCGACCCCGCTACACTCCCCCCCCCCCCCCCCCATTCCTTCGTCCATCGTCCATCGTCCATCCTGATGTTTCAATGTAGTTTTGTAGACATCGTCTACAATAATATTTGATTTGATTACATTAATGTTTAAGTTGAGATTTACAAGAAATATTTTATAGCTGCTGTGTAAAAGGAATACTGCTGGTAAAAAGCACCTTATTTGTTTAAAGTGTTAGCAAACCACATATTATTACACTTTTGTACATATAGCAGTAGGCCTACATTTAAATTAAAATTGCGCAATACACTACTTTAGAATTCATTATTCAATTTTACGCATAACAATGTGATTAATAAAATTTTTTGATAATTTCCCAGCACTAGTATTTACTTGATAAATAAATTATTGTTATCATTAAAACATATTTCATACTTTACCCACCCCCGCAGATATTGTGAAAATGGTATGGTCGAAACACTTGGCCATTCAGATTCGCAGGAGCCGCTAATGTGAAGCCAGTCACTTTAAGTGAACACTGCAGCCTGTCAGGAGCCCAAAAAAGCCAAAACACATGGAGAAAAATACAATGATAAACAAGGTAATCTGCATATATACATAACATAAAAATTTAGGGGTAAAGCCTCTTTATTTAAGTCATAAAGTTCTGTGGTGCTATGCTTTAGTTATTTTATGTATGTAAAGTAGCGCATTTCAATTAGTAAACACCTAATTTAAGAGCCTGAGAGCTTTACTGCATTATATTCTGTTATACATTGAATCATCACCTGCCACCTGAATTTTGTGTTTCCCTTTGTATTATATAAAATTAATAACACCCACAAGTTCCCCTGTAGCAACCTCAAGAAAATGGACCTACAGTAAACAAGTCAGCAGCACATCACAGGTCATAGGATACAGTTAAAATATAGTTACAATACAATAAGCTATACATGTAGTAAACCTCTGTTTACATTATTATCATTATCATCATTTCTGCTGACACAGCCATATACTCTACACAGTATTATAGTTCTCTACACAATAGATGAAGTTGATAAATGAAGTACATTTATTAATTCACTCATAATTTGAATTTTTCAACATTTGATTTTACTTTTCTCTAATCACTCAATCATTGAAGGGCATTTTTTTCTCTCCTTGTCTTGTTTTAAGTTAAAAAGAGAAACATAACCGCCATAGTCTAATTTGAAAGATTAAAAAAATAAATAAAACTGACTTGACCTTTTGTGCTTTATAATCATATTGAGTAATTGAATATATATGCGAGCATGGCCTGAATGGGTCTATAACACTGAATTTTACAGACTCCATCTGTGCCACTGCAAGGCTAATGGTCAAGAGCTTCTTTGAAATTTTCTGTGTTTGTATTAGAGAGTGGGTGGGTGGAGGTGGTGCTAGAGTGGGTGTCGATGAGGGGCCCTATTTGGAAAATGTTGTCCCCCTGTCCATAATTCCTAATGAATGGCTTGCCTCTGCCTACCAGTCAGTCAAAATTAAAGAAGTCTCTTGGAGAGGTGAAATGTCTTCATCTTCAACCAAGCACAGTTGCCCTTGATTTTAACCTACCTTGGATAACTATGACATGGATCACTGAGCATCTTCACAGACATCAGCATGTTGTTTTTTCTGCTGTATCAGTACTGTTTATGGGTGCCATAACCAAATAATGGCACGAAGACTGCAGAATTGTATTTTAAGAGAAAACTGTTCCAGTATGACCAGAACTGAGTATGTGATGTTCAATTCAATTCATTTAAATTTGATTTATATATAGCACCAAATCACAACAGTTATCTCAGAACGCTTTTCTTTAAAGAGCAGGTCTAGACCGTACTCTGTGTGTGTATGATATGAATTTTCACAATACATCCATACATAGCACACATAGCACTTGGCGCTATGACTATAAATGAATATTGGTGTGTAGATGTGTTCAGGGCGGGGCAGTTATCAAGCACGTAAAGTTTTGTGCAGATGTCAGCATGTACACTGAAGTGACAACAACTTCCTGTGTCATGGCGAAGAGTTGATCTTTGATGCCAGATAGCAAAATTCAAAATGGCTGACTTCCTGTTGGGTTTAGGGCATCGCTCCAAGAGGCTTTTTGGTACGTCCGGACATGATACATGTTCCACAGAAATTTCATACATGTAGGTGAAACGTGCCATGGGGGCTGCTTCATTAAAACTAATTTCCTGTTGCCAACAGGTGGCGCTATGACCATGGGTTATATGTCGGCATGCACATGTGTTCAGGGCGGGAGTCTTATGAAATGTGTGAAATTTGGTAGAGATATGAGCATGTACAGTGAAGTTACAACAACTTCCTGTGTCATGGCGAAGCATCAAACATTGACGCCACGCCAAGGACACAACGTTATCCAAAAACTCACAAGATTCACGACATAGCATCATCAATGTCTTAAGGCTCTTCTGAGACTGTTTTGAAGTAGGTGAGGCAAAAATGCTGGCGGTAGTACATAACAGCGTAAAACTTGACATTTCCAGTTGCCAGCAGGTGGCGCTATGACATTGTGTGTTTATTGGCATATGGATGTGTTCAGGGCGGGACTCTCATCCTACATGTAACGTTTGGTGCAGATCTGAGCATGCACACTGGAGTTATAACAACTTCCTGTTTCATGGCGAATCATGGATATTGGACGGCACACCACGGACACGCCCATTGACGAAAACTCACAGATAGCACAACTTTTCATCGTCAATGCCTTTAGAAGGCACAGCAGAAATTTGAAGTCGATCGGACTAAATCTGTAGGACGAGTTCGTTAAAGTATGCACCCTGTAAACGGTGAAAAATGGGTTAAAAGCGCACTTTCAATTCAAAATGGCTGCCTTCCTGTTGAGTGTAGGATTTTTTGTGTGTCTTGATATGATACATGTCCTCAGAAAATGTAGGTTGAAGTAGGCGCGGGGGCAAATTTTTTCCAACTTTGCAGGTGGCGCTATAGGGCCATTTTGCCATGCTACCTGAAACCCTGAAAATACGTAATTTTTCACCAGACCTGACGTGTGCAAAGTTTGGTGAGTATTTGGGGACATTTAGGCCATCAAAATTGCGATTCATTTGGGAGAAAGAAAGAATAATAATCCTTACAATTTCATTAGGGTCCTTGCATATTTCATGCTCGGGCCCTAAATATACATAGTTGCTGACATAGGTAACATACAATTAATAATTAGGCTGATAATTGTTCTGGCAAAACTGAGGCTGTACACATTGTAGATTTTTTGTGTGCACTAGTGGGCTTTAATTCAATTTCAATTCAATTTTATTTATAACGCCAAATCACAACAACAGTTATCTCACAGCGCTTTAGACATGCGTTTCCATATTTTTGAGCTTTTATGGACAGCCAATAGCAGAGACCTAAGATGAAAATGTTGAGGGAGATGTGGAGTGAAACGCATCAAAAGATGTTCTCGAACCGGGGATGTTATGGCTCATAGTTGGGACCTTAACCCCTTGGCCATCAGGTCCCCATGTTTTCATAATTTTTATGTGCCATTCAACTGGAAATGACATATCCGAAATAACATCATTGCTTGCCTTTTCTCCAGATAAGTTATTCATCAACCGCTGTCATTCTGAGTGATAAGAGCCGCTTCCCTGCCTTCATGAGGACTGTTCCTAATGACAAGCATCAGACAGCTGCCATGGTCAGTCTGCTCAGCACATTTGGATGGAACTGGGTGGGAGTAGTTACCACAGATGGAAATTACGGCCAATCTGCTCTGGACCACTTTGTGTCCCAGGCTTCTGAAAAGGGAATCTGTGTCGCCTTCAAATCAATTTTACCTCAATCTATAAGCGGTCAGCATGTCTGCTCTGCAATCACGCAGACTGCTAAAACCATCTACAACAATCCCAAGGTACAGGTGATCGTGTCTTTTGCCAAACCAACTCACATGATGTACCTTTACCAGGAGCTTAAGAATCAGCTGAGAGCAGGACAGAACATGGAGTCAATGAGAAGAGTCTGGGTGGCCAGTGACAGCTGGTCTTCCTCCAGCTCTGTGAAAGGAAACTTAACACTGGAGGACATAGGACACGTTGTGGGCTTCACCTTCAAAAGTGGAGATCTGTCGTCATTCAGTGAGTACCTGAGCAGGTTAGAGGCAGCTGGACATGACTACACAGAGACGAACCCTTTCATGCAGGAGTTCTACATGCAGCTAAAGGCTGAAGGTTCTGGAGACACTGAGCTGGTGTCTAAAGCTGTGAACACCCTCAGGGAACGAGCAGACACTATCTTCAGTGTTGAGATGGCTGTGAGTGCTATTGTTCAGGCTGTGGCATCTATCTGCAGGTGGAGAAACTGCAAAACACCAGGCACAGTGCAACCGTGGGAGGTATTCACATATATAAATTGTGTGTTTGTGTGCTCTTGTGTTGTATTTATAAGGTACACATGCGGTAATTTTAGGGTGCAGGTTAAAGCAACGTAACGTATGTAAGATGTGTTTTTTTGTGTGATTTGGCGGCCTACCGTTTCAGAGTGGAATTCACCGCTGTCGCATTACGATCAAAAACTAGCATGTCACCAACTCTTCTAACAAAGTTAAATATCGAAACATATAAAAGTGCAACACAGCTATATTACTGACTAGTCTTTAGCCTAATTGGTAACGGAAATACCAGTAGACAGTTTATTTAGATTTTTATGATATTTTCATTTTATTTAGCAGTTATTTAAATGTAACCATTTAATTTAAAATATATTGAAAACATTATTTTATTTAAGAGATTTTAAAAACAAAAATTTATTGTGTTTTATTTTATTCAATGTGTTCTGTCTAATGTTTTTATTAGAATTATGTTCAAATAAAATTATTTTCTTCGTCGTCTTCTATTTGGACCAATACGGTACACTTAATGTGTCGAAATCTTTGCCGGGATAATCTACTGATGATGAATACTATGCAGCACTTTAAGGTTAGGCTAGAGGATGGGGACTGAATGCAATAAACTGAAGGCACTGTCATCTATACAGTAAATATAAAACATACAGTTAAGTATGTGCCCCTGCAGATATTGTGGTTTAATAGACTTATCCAAGGTACTGACTTGATAAATGAAGTGTCTCATGTCCTGTAGGTGCTGAAAGCTCTGTGGATGGAAGAGTTTAAACTTAGAGAAAAGAGCTATAAGTTTGACAGCAGTGGAGACATCAACCTGGGCTATGATGTGACAATGTGGAGGTCAGATGGAGGGAACATCCTTGTTCATAATGTTGTAGCTGGATACCATCCACACATCAACAACTTCACCCACACCTACAAAACCACCACCCAACAGTTCAAAGACCTAAAGGTATGTCCTCATTCTGCTGCCTTTATGTCATTTTGTATAGACATACACATACCTCGGTGTGTGTTTACTGAAAACATTCAGACCATTGAAGCTGTATTATGCCAAAAGATAGGACAGGTAAGTTTAAATATAGAGTATACCCAGTAAGAGTATTCTAAAAGGAATGAGTTATGTTGAATACAGTAAAAATACATTACATATACAATTACACAAAAAAATATTAAGACAGCTTAATGAATGGTCTATAATCATGCTATCTCCCTGCTTTTCTTAGCTCATCATCTCAAAATGCTCCAAAAGCTGTGTCCCTGGAGAGTTCAAGAAAACAGCAGAGGGTCAACACACTTGTTGTTATGAGTGCATCAACTGTACTGAGAACTACTACTCTAATAATACAGGCAAGACACTAAGAGTCTGAGTCAGATTCATTGGTTGACATGAACCCCATTTTTACCTGACATTAAGGTGTGTTTAAGGTGATCATATAACTAACTCTTTTAGCTTACACGCACAGAAACCTGGATGTGATCACACTCAAGGTGGTCGGTTTGGTCGTGTGTATCTGTATGCAGGGGCATCGTAGTAGGGGGGAAAGAGGGCCATTTTAATTTCTAAGTAATTAATGTCGAGAAATTGGCTGAATAAAGCGGTTGAGAGACTTTATATCCCCCAAAAATTGTGGAGGCTCTCTGAGGCCCCTCTCTCCCCTTACAAAAGGCACAAAATGGTTTAGTCCGCCCCTGCTTTAGAATTCATCTTTAAATGCAGCTCATAAAGTTGAGTGACTGTTGATGCTGGAGCACCAAGGTCATGTCTTTCCCCAAGAAAGGAAATGATAAAAGCCAATATCAGCAGTTCAATTCAAACAGCTTTATGGTCTACCAGTCGTATAAAAAACAACAGAAAAACAGAGCAACCACAACCAGTGAAACATTCAGACACCCTGTCAGTGACGACATATAAGCATTTGGGCACCAGAGAAAAGCAGAGAACACACAGGTCACCATGCATGGACGAAGCAGGGACCATAATTCAAGGAAATTAACAGATAAATAAATACATAATGGTTCTCAAGTTTACAACGCTTAACCCTTGTCTAGTTGCCGCCATCAGCAGCATTTAGAAGCCTGAAGGCAGAAGGATTAAAATAATTTGCATATCAGTTAGTTTTGTTTGGGGGAGCAAGGTGACCTGGCCCAAGTATCCTTGGGCAAGATACAGAACCTTGAATTGCCCCTGGTGGCTGTTCCACCAGTGTATGAATGTGTGTAAATGTTAGTTTCTGTTTGAGCACTTAGGCTCAGTGAATGAATGTGTGTGAATGGTGAATGCAGATGTAGTGTAAAAGCGCTTTGAGTGCTCAAAAAGACTAGAAAGGCGCTTTATAAATACAGAGCCTACATCTAAGAACCATGCTGACACAGAGCTGACAGTGTCTGATATGTTTAATAATAAATATCGTGCTTCAAAACTACTATTCCTGCTTCCTGCCTTAATGTAAATATTTAAGCTAACAGTGTACAGCAGTCTGTATTTACTAGTCATGCTCATTGGTGTAGCCTGATGAAGACAGACCAAATTATGCGCACACACAAAACGACAATCTACTTTTATTTCTGTGGATGTGACTGAGAAAGCGTTTCAACCACAAATGATCTTCCTCAGGTAAAAAGCAATAAATTATGAAACATCACAGAATTATCTCTTAATTTAATGTGTTTGCCAAATCACAATATAATATCAGAGACAACAAGAAAATAATTTTAAAAGAATATATATAACAAAATATTTTTAAACAATCTTTACTTATTGGTGTACTTAACAGACTTTTATAATGTAGTATTTTGTAATCACGCTTCAAAGCTACAGACTGTGAATATTGTCCTGGTGTATTCAGTTCAATTCAGTTCAGTTTTATTTATATAGTGCCAATTCACATCAACAGATAGCTCATAGCGATTTTCAAACAAAGCGAGTGTAGAACGTACTCATGATATTATTTACTGAGACCCAACAATGTATTTGTGGCAGGTGATCTAATCAGGAGATGATGACATGTCATTTCATCACAAATAAATATTAATGTATGTTCACTTCTTTACTTTTACCTGAGGAAGACCACCAGCAGCTGAAATAATTCCAGTCGCATCCACTACAAATAACTTTTTTATTTAATTCATTAAGTTACTTGCTACTCAAGTAGTTCAGTTCTGTTCAGTTTGGAATCTTGTGTTAGCGTTGTTAGATTCTTTTGTTGGCATTTGCACTTTTTAATTTACATTTTACAACACTGGTGTTTTGGAATTATCTGAGCTTTATCTCCATATAACCTGTCTACTCTGGTTACACCCTGATAATGTCACCTGCATATTGTCTCCTCTTCATTTAACTCCTCTCATGTGACACACTGGACACGCAACGCAGCCTGCTCTACTCTCTGTTCCCCACCCACCTGCCCCAGACACACCCACATCGTTCTAGTAGAGTAGTTAGTTATTCCTGCTTAAGCATTTAACTGCATTGAATAAAATAGCCAAGTTTTTTTAAGTCATTCACTAGGTTTCTCTATTGATTGCCCCTCCCTCGCCTGCTCGCTCAATTGTTTGTTTGCACACACTTCATCTGTTCATCTCGCTCTTTTAAGACAAACTTTCCTCGGTTGTATAGCCGCCAGGTTCCACATGACTGAACATATCACTGACCATATCTGAGTATGCAGACATACATTACATGCACTACAATGAGCTCCAGGATGTCAGGTTTGGTCCTCGGTCACTGTAGAGTGCAAACCCCAGGACTTTCAGGGACCAGTAGCTCAGAAAATAAGCTAATAAATAAGCTAAATGTGAACTCCTCTCTACCTCTCCCAGTTACATTTCATCCCTTATCATTAGCATGTTACATGCACATTTAAGCTAATATAGAGGTAAATCAGTATCAGCCTTTCCTACTCTATTTTCTGTGAAGATTGTAAAGCCATCCGGGTGATACATCAAGTTGCCTTCAACTTCTGGCTTCCCTGGTTATTTTTAACCAGTTGTGATTCTGTTGTTGACTGAAAACCAGGTTTTGAACAACCAGGATAGGCGTGGAATTTTCTGTGCACAGCATCAAATCTTTGTGAGCCTTTGTGTGATTGTTTTATTCTGTACGTGGGTTTTTGCTCCTTTATCCCTGCAGATATGCACCAGTGCCTGAGCTGTGACACAAATAAAGAGTGGTCTCCTAAGGGCAGCTCCAGCTGCATCCCCAAAGCCCAGCTCTTCTTCTCCTGGCAGGACGGCTTCGCTGTGGTGCTCCTGACCTTTTCTGCCCTGGGCATCCTTCTGGCTCTGCTGGTGTCAGCACTGTTTCTACATCAGAGGGACACACCTGTAGTGAAGGCTGCCGGGGGGCCACTGAGCCAGGCCATCCTGTTCTCTCTGGTCATCAGTTACATCAGTGCGATGCTGTTTGTAGGCCGGCCCAACAGTTTCCAGTGCAAGGCTCGACAGGTGCTCTTTGGCATCAGCTTCACTCTGTGTGTTTCCTGCATTCTCGTCAAGACCCTGCAGATCCTACTAGCCTTCCAGTTTGACCCTGTGCTGCAGAGGGTGCTGCGTAGGCTCTACCAGCCTTACATCATCGTCAGCATCTGTGTGGCCTTACAGGTAGCTACCTGCATCTGCTGGCTGGTCCTCAAAAGTCCATTTAATCACATCATCAGGCAACCAACCACTCTGCTGGAGGACTGTCATGAGGGCTCATATCTGGCCTTTGGGGTGATGTTGGGCTACATAGCTGTCCTGGCGTTTGTGTGTTTTATCTGTGCTTTCAAAGGACGTAAACTGCCACAGCAGTACAACGAGGCAAAGTTTATTACATTCAGCATGCTGCTCTACCTCGTCTCCTGGCTGCTCTTCATTCCTGTCTACGTCACAACTTCAGGAGTGTACCTGCCAGCTGTGGAGATGGTAGTCATTCTCATTTCCAACTACGGCGTCCTCAGCTGTCATTTCTTCCCAAAGTGTTATGTAATTCTTTTTAAGAAAGAACAAAACACCAAGAGTGCTTTCAGGAAAAATCTGTATGAATACTCCAGCAAATCCACGCATTCTGTCTCTGTGTCTGGAAGGTCAGTGTCAGAGCAATTCAGACCTGCTGTGGTGACAAACTGCAGAAACATGACTAGCTGCACAGGTTTGCACAGAGGTTCAAACACACGACACTGCCTCAGAAGAAGCACAAGCATATAAACTATTAATGTTTCTATGTCTGTTTTATCTGAGGTAAGATGCCAGAGGGATGTTCTGCCAAAGTTCCATTTATCTTTATGGCAATGGAAATCCAAAAAAAGCATGTACTTGTACTAGGAAGTCATGGCAACCCTAACCATAAACCACAACAGCAGATCGTGATCTCTTAGATGGGGCATTTCACCAAATCAGATATAGTATCACTCCCAGTGGCTTTGACAGATTTCACAAAAGAGGTCTGGGACAATCCCATCATTATGAAAATAACCACTAAAAAGAAAGAGAGTGATAAACTTAATTCACATGTGAAGTCCCTGTTGCAATACCATAAATTAATTAAACTTTATTGCTTATTAGGGTGGAAAATTGTCTTTAGCACACCAAAACATAGGCAGCACATATAGAATAAATATCTTAAAAATACTGTTGAAGTATAAAACACAGCTCACTAGTGAAAAATAGAAATACAACGCATTAAACCAAACAAGAAGACATTAAAAAATAAAACAAAATACTTCTGCAGCAAGATGTTTTGTATTTAAATGCTGATTATACTTGGAATAATATAAACACTTCCTAGAGATTGAAGCCTCATAGTGAGGAAATAAGGAATGAGAAGTGTCTGTGCGGAATGCCATGGCTTCATCATCCATTCTCTTGTTCTGACAGTGTCCCAGTTATTTTTCTGCCTATGACTCATTAACAAATAGTGCTCTGCAATGTGTGAAAAGTCGTTGTGATATAATAAGTTTTACATTTAGCAGACGCTTTTATCAAAGTGACTTAGGTTCATGTGTGTAAGATTTAGTGGCATCTAGCAGTGAAGTTGCGAGTTGCAACCAACTGTCCAGTCTACCACTGCTCCCTACCCTTTCAGAGAGTAGGACAGCTACGGTGGCCGACACAGCACAAAAGGTGTATGTGAGAGAGTGGCCAGTCAAGAAATGAGTTTTTTTTAGGCAGATATATTTAGAAATTATGTTTATTTAATTATTCAGTAAGTGGTGCTACCAGCAGAGTTTCAGGAGCGGGACCACACATCAATGACGTCACTCCCGGCATTTCCATAAATACCCACACAACACATGTCCTCTTTTTCGCTCTCGCATTGAGCGCCACTGTTAAAGGGACAGTTCACATATTACCTCCATCTCAAGATAGCAGTGGTACCAAAGCAAACAGGACGTCAACCAACACCAGAATTCCAAAGCCTCCACCTCTCATTGGGGTTGACCACCCCAGCAGCCTACATCACACAGGACAACCACATCGAGTCGTCAGCACCCCGGCATCCAGCTCCGGTGGCTTCAGGTGCCCAGCACTGGGATGCCAGCACCCCAGCCATCTACATCTACCATCCACTTCATTAGGGGCCTTCGGCACCGGGACGCCAGCGCCACAGCTGGACACTTCCAGCAACTACAGCAGTCACTTCCATAGGGTTATAACTGTTAGAACTGATGCTAGCAGCATACAAGCTAACACAACGCAATCATTACGAGCTCAGTCATTTCAAGCTAACAGCCGTTCCGAGCTAACTTTGAGCTAGCTAACAGTCGTTTTGAGCTAACTTTACTAACTTTGCGATAACAGCCGTTCGAGCTAACCTTAAGCTAACAGTCGTTTTAATCTAACTTTGAGCTAGCTAACAGTCGTTTCAAGCTAACCTTGAGCTAACAGTCGTTTTGAGCTAACTTTGAGCTAGCTAAAAGTCGTTTCGAGCTAACTCTGAGCTAACAGTCATTTCGAGCTAACAATTGTTAGCGTGAGTGGTTGTTCGTCTATGTGTGGTCCTGCGATGGACTGGCGACCTGTCCAGGGTGTACCCTGCCTTGCGCCCGATGTCAGCTGGGATTGGCTCCAGCCCCCCCGCGACCCTGTACGCAGGATGACGATGGATGGATGGATGGATTCCTTTTAAGCTAACTTCAAGCTAACAATTGTCTTGAGCCAACAATCATTTCCTAACTTAGCTATTTTCCTGCTAGCTCATTCCAAGCAGTCGTCTTCTAGCTAATTCGTTTTGAGCTATAGTCATTTTAAAGTAAACATTAGTTTCCACATAAGTCATTCAAGCTAACAGTCGTTTCCTAGCTAAGCCTTTCGAGCAAAACTAGTTTTGAGCTGACATTTGTCTCGAGCTATCATCGAGCTAACAGTAGTTTTGAGCTAACCTCCAGCTAACAGTAGTTTTGAGCGAGGGAGGCTAACTCTACCTGTTAGCACATCAGCTGTGAGGCCGATGTGCTAACAGGTATACGTATGTATATTGTTTGCTGGTTGCAGCAGCTTCGTTTCTGTGGTCTGCTTGTGTTTGTTACTGCTATTACTGAGAGTCAGTATTTATTTTGTTGAGAGTAGTCTTTGTGTTAACTGTTTAGCTAAAGACTCTGTTGCAGCAGTTTATTCCACTACTGAGAGTCAGTAAGTGTTTATTTTTGTTAAGAGACACACCTGAGTTAGTTTGTGTTTAACTGTGTGTCTGCAGAGTTGGGCTAGGTTTTAGAGTAAGTACTGACACCCACTCTACATGTAAGATTTTCCCTTGTTTAGTGCATTAGGTTTAGGGGTGCTGCGCTCCCTGTGTTTTATTTTTGAGACACCCAAAATAAAGAGGTTTTGTTTTCACTTTGGTTTTTGAGTTAGTAATCCCTGTTTTTAGTTTGTTAAAACCTTGTCAACTCTCTTGTATAAATAAATAACTTTTCCACCATACCAAGTACATCTGGTTTATGCGTACATCCCCTTTCCCCTAGTGAGCTGGGTCATAACACCCCCCAAGTGGTACCCGGTTTCATCCTGCTTCCAGCTCCATTGCCGCCGCGCCAAGCTCTCTGGTTTTCTCCAACCTCCGGGTTCCAAGGTCTACAGAGAAACAGCAGGTCTTCCCATGACCCTAGATTTCTAGGATTCACTCTTGACACACTCCGTTTCACACTGTAATCTGGATTGAAAGCTTATCCAATCAGCATTCAATTGCCAATTCTTCCTTGCTTTGGCTCAATCTTCGCCAACGGGATTGGGTTCAACTTTTTCTATCACGAACAACCGTGACGCCCTGAGATAATAATAATAATAATAATAATAATAAATTGAATTTGTATAGCGCTTTTCACGAACTCAAAGTCGCTTCGGGATACCAATCGTACACCGCTGCCACATATTCTGCAAGTTATACAAAGAAGACTAATCGCAGCAGAATGGTCCTTCTACCAACAGCATAGCCCTCTCTCGGGTTACAGGCCAGCTTCGAAGAACTCTGCCACTGTCACAACTAGCACAACATGACCTCCCTGTCATTCGATCTCGTCACAATCGGGCCAGCTTACGTTCATCTTTTTCTTCAAAGTCCAGTCATCTCTGAACCCTTTAAAACCCTTGTGAACTATAGGGAATCCCAGCGCACAACCATGTCAGATCGTCCGAGACCGTTCTAGTAGCTACTCTATTCCGGTTCTACCAGCAGTTCTGCCAAAGTACCTTCGCGTAAGGCATTTCTCCCATCCATTACTTCGGTCACTCCTCCAGGATCTAAGCTACCATTCACCCTACCCCGCGCCGTCATTCCTGAGCATCTGATACAGATCATGCGCTGCTGGTCTTACCAAGCATACCATCACTACACTACACAGGGAATAGCAGAGGGAAACAGCAATTGCAGAAAGCAACGAAACCTGCAATAGAACAGAGAGGGGGGCTTGGGGAGGAGAAAAACAACAAACAAACACAAACAAAAACAATAGTAAAAGACAACCAGCCGAAGTGAACAGCTGACATAGTAAGACAACTAAGAGAAAAATGAAAACAAGAAACAGTGTGAGTGTGGGTGAATGTGTCTGTGTGTGTGTACGTGTGTGCGCATAAGCCTGTTAAAGAATGAATTTGTAGTGAGAGTGAGACGCCACGACTGTGCCACACCTACCCCAGCAACAGACAGGCAAGAACCCCAGTAGCCAATAGGGGTGGGAGAAAAATAAAATCAAAAAACAAAGACTCCCAGATGCACAGCGATGCAAACGCGGAAGACCCCGACCCAAATGCCAGATGACAATGTAATGCCGATGGAACGCAAGAAGCGTAACCCGCAGAAGAGCAGCGCCCGGACCGACCGCGGCGCGCACACAACATAGACCAGTGCTCTCCCCCACCCAGCACCCCACCGCCGCGCAGCGGACAACCAAAACGCCCAAATGCCACGCAATCATCAACACCAATGCACAAGTGCCCAGCATGCCCCCAGCCGCCGTGCAACACCAGCCAAACCAGCAACGAGGCAAAATCAACCAGCTCAGCTGCATGCCACCACCAACACACCCACCCGTCAAGGGCCGAGAACTCCAGGCACAAGCCCAGAACAAACTGGAGCACAGCCCTGCCCCGCACCCACACTGCACATCCTGAAAACTAATTATATACCTCAGTATCCAGAGGGCTCCAACAACTGGCCAACAGAGAAATGGGGAAGCTTGGATCCGAGGCCAATGAAGCAAAACACGGATGCAAACAGGTCCCTCCAAGCCAACGAGGAAATGCCTCCCCCGGACTCCAATGCACAAACTAAACGCCCAGCAGCCATTCAGAGACCCTGCCCAGGGAAAAAGCACAATGCATCAAGATGCATCGACAATCGCCCTAAAATCCTACCGCAGCCCTCCAAACCGCAACCGGATCAACCGTGCCCAGAGACCCCCACCCCCAGAATACAGGGCACCCCGCGACCCCCCAAAGTGCAAAGGACCCCAGACCGCATGTCCCGGGGGAAGCTGTACCCCGCCCCAAGGAAGAACAACAGAAAGCCGTGCCGGGAAGCTCCCTGCCGCCAGGGAGCGATAACGCGGGAGAACCAGGCCAACAGTCCCCCCAGCCCAGCCAGAGGCATCCCTCCCCAGAGTGCAGGCAGTGCCAGCAGCCCCCGAGGCCGATCTCACCCCTGGACGGGGGCCCAGCCCCCCCAGTCAAGCACGTCCAAGGAGGAGCACCAAAACCTACCCCGACAACACCGGCCATGCGCCCCAGAGACTCCCAAATGCCCCCACTGAGAGAGAGCTGGCAGGGGGAAGCAGCGGGAGCCCCACCCCTGCCGAAGAGGGCCCAGGCGAGGAGAGGAGACAACGGGCCCCCAGGCCCAGGGACACACCACCTGCCCAGAAATGAGCAAAAGCCAGAAGCCCGAGACCCCTAGGTCAAGAGGGGGCCCCCACGCCAGGGGAGCCCCGACCCCCCCAGCCCACCCCAGATCAGGCAAGGCCGTCACCAACCCCACAGCACCCCCGACGCCCGGGGCTCCAGGGGCAGGACACAAGGCCAATGAGAATCTCCCCCACTCCTTCAACCCCTCTGCCTGCCTCTGTAAATGTATTGTTTTGTATATTATTACTTCTTCTTCTAACATATGTATTCAATGTAGTGATGAGTGCCAGAATTCTACAAGAAGAAGAACGTAGTGATGAAACGCGGTCTGTAGCGCCGTTTGTCCGTTTTCAGCTACTGCGGAAACATGACTATGCAACATGGCACTGTCCATGGAAGTAGGGACCCGCTGTTTTGTAGATAGAAATGGCTCACTCAGGTAAGAAAAAAAATAACGGTTCATTATGTAAGGTCTTTATACACCACTGAAAACATAGTTATGGCTCTTTTATTGTATTTCTGCCAATAGATCCTCAAGTTTTAGTCTCATTATTGTTAGCTTAGCCAATAGCTAGACTTAGATGCTACACAGTGCTAAGTACTTAATTAAAGTTTATTAATATATAATATGTTTTCTCTCTCATTGCACTTTTCATATAGAGCAGGTCTACACAATACTCTCTCTTTACATGGCCGTGGGGCAGAGAGGTGCTAGCCACCAAGCAAGCCAGAGGTGAAGGTGACAACAGTACAGGTCTGTAGCCACACCGCTCCTCCAGGTTGTGAATATGAGTAAGCTGCATGAGGATGCTGTTGAGACAGCACCTTATGAGGCTCCCAAGTGGTGGAATAATTTAGAAGCCAAGAACAGACTGCACAGTAAGCTGTTCACAGTCTGCATTTTAACAAATGCAATGCTAAAATGTTTTATGGCGACTGGCTGTTGAAACGTGAGACCTCCAATGATACTATATATCACATGGCAATTTACATACTAATAGATGCTGTCTGGTGATGGATACAGGTTGGTTTGTTCTGTTGGGAAAGCAACCTTCCGCCAAACAGTTCAGAATTTTGGATTTATACATGTTTCATCTTTAAAAACAGTAAGCTCTCCTAACAGAAGCAGAAGGGAGGAGGTAATGGACTTATACTGGGTGCACTCATACACTTGAATCCTTGAGGGTTTTAACTTTAGGTCACTTTCAAAGAACAAAGAAGTTTCTCATTCTCATGGATGTCTCTGAATTTGACACCTCTACAGACTGCTGTTAGAGCACAGAGTCAGTTAGTTTTCTTTGCTAAATGTGTTTTATCTGCTTATCTGTTTGTGAAGATGGTTTAATCTGCTACCGCATCTATGTAAATACAGGTCATCATGTGTCATGTGATGCTGATTGAGACTAGCCATTATTTAAATATAGCTGCAAGCGGCAATGAAAGGGTTCAAACCTTTTTGCACCATTGTGATTTCAAAAAACTTTCACACACAAAGTTTAACAATGTAATGAAACACACACCTGTGAGTTTTGTAATGATGGGATAAACTGTTGTTGATTTATAGTCTGATTTATGTTATGCCACACCCATTTCTTGCATTTGTAGCCCCCCCCCCAAGCAGTCAATTTCAATGAAACTTTTAGTGTATGTGTGGGGTCCTTATGTAGACATATCCTGGAAGTTTTAGGTCGATTGTACAAACTTTTTTTAATTTGTAGCCTGATTAGGGTTAAATCACTTGCAGTTTCTTTCTCGCCACCTAGTGTTCGATTTGAATTAAACTTTCAGGGCATGTCTCAGGTCTTATGTGAACATATCCTGTAAGATTTGTGATGATTGTAGAAATCTGATTTGTAGTCTAATTTGTGTGATGCCATGCACATTTCTTGCATTTGTACGCCCCCTAGTGGCCTATTTGAATGAAACTTTCAGGGCAAGTCAAAGGCACTTATGGAACCATATCCTGTGAGTATCGCTATGATTGAAAACGCTTGATGATTTGGGTCCATTTATAAACCTGAGCCATGCCCCTTAAGAAGTTCATTGGTCAATATCTTAAATTAAATGACATATCAACAAGCTTTTGCAATGTTTGAGCAGTGTGGTCCATTGATGATGCACTGAAAATTTGGTGGCAATCAGAGCTACGGTAAAAGAGATGTAAAAAAAATTAGTTTTTTAAAAAATTCTAAATTCGGAATTTTTTGTAGGTGATTGGGCTCATATTTCTATGGAAGTGCACATGCACACCATTTCCAGTTATGCCCCCATGTTTCATGTTCTTAGCTCATTCCAGCTCACAGGAATTTGAGCCGCGGCATAAGGCAAATAGTAATAGTAATAATAATAATAATAATAAACCAGCACAAATAAGTGGTTTGAATCCTAATAAGGTGGTTCAAACACTACATAATTTAAAATTACATTTGTAAATGCTCTGTACTTGTATAGCGCCTTTCTAGTCTTTTCGACCACTCAAAGCGCTTTTACACTACATCTGCATTCACCAGTCACACACATTCATACTAAGTGCTCAAACGGAAATTAACAGTCACACTCATTCATACACTGGCGGAATAGCCGCCAGGGGCAAATCGGGGTTCAGTATCTTGCCCAAGGACACTTCGACACGCAACCAGGGGGAGCCAGGGATTTAACCGCCGACCTTCCGATTAACGGCCAACCCGCTCTACCTCCTGAGCCACAGCCACCCAATTTAAGACAATGAATCCATGCATGAAAATGACTGGTGGGTGGGTGGG